TGTCGATATAATACCGTTTCAAGATTTGATGAATTACCTACTTTATCGAGTTATTTATTTACTTAAATAAAACTGGGTAATTCTTTTGAAAATAAAAAATAATGGAAAAGTAGGATATAGGAACTTCGATATTTTCAGCTTTAAACCTTAGCACAAGTCAAATTCGAGTTTCTGAAATCAGTCACATACTTGAAGTTACGTCTCCTAATTGTTAAATACCGATAATATACATAATTATTATGCGACGAAATAGATACTTATGTAAAAAGATCGTCCAAGTGGTTTTTTATTAAAAGGTGCATTTGCATAAGTTTGCGTCACTTTATTTCCCACGGTATGCAGCATCTAGTGGCATTTTTGAAATTATTTATCTAACAGACGCTTTAAAAGCAAGACAACTAGATGCGTCACTGGTTGTAACGTAGTACATACAGTCAAAATCTGTTATAACGACACCGAAGGGACTACTCATATTTGGTCGTAAAAACCGATATCGTAACAACCGGTGACGTTGTTATTAAGTACCTGATACCTATTATTGAATGTGTGATTAATACATTCATGTATAAAATAAAACTACATTTTATTTATTTCACATAAAACGTATAATAAAAAGACATTACGTACATATAATTATCATTTTTCTATATTAATAAAATCTGTAATTTTAGTTATTTCAATACAGCTGGTAGTGCTCATATTTGGACCTTCTCCTCTATAATTCTTCGAAAATATCTGCTAAATGTAGTCGCTTAAAGAGGTATGTCGTAATAAGCAATGTCGTAAAAACCAGTGTTTTTTATAAGGAGCTCTAATAGAATTCAGCCGGGACCTATGATTTTGGTCAATATAGCCGGTATGTTGTTCTAAACGATGTCGTTATAAACGGTTTTGACTGTAGTATGACTTGTCACCTTGCAGACATTCAGTGAACATAAATTAGCAGAACGAAAAAAACCAAACCCAANATATTAATAAAATCTGTAATTTTAGTCTGTTTGGAACACTGCTACACACCCTATAGTTCCTGTTGAATTTTAATTAATGTATCGGCATAATTTCATTAAAAAGAATAATTTTTCGTAATAGAGCGACAGCATTGAGACCATCATACAAAGTTGGCACTGTACATTGTTCTTCAGTCACTTCACATGAATAAACACCTCAGCATTAGTAGTAGATATTCTGAGATTTACAATACACGATCTCAATGGTCGTTTACTATACCAGATGTGGATACTGTTACCTATTCCAATGTTTACAATACAGCTGGTCGTTCTAACAGATATAATTCTCCGAAAATATCAGTTAAATGTAGTCGCTTAATGAGATATGTCGTAATAAGCAATGTCGTAAAAACCAATATTTTTTATAAGGCGGTCTAACACAATTCAGCCGGGACCTATGATATTGGTCAATATAACCGGTATGTTGTTCTAAACGATGTCGTAGTAAACGGTTTTGACTGTATTTNTGCACAAATTGCAATAAAATTATCCACATTTATTCCAATGTTTACAATACAGCTGGTCGTTCTAACAGATATAATTCTCCGAAAATATCAGTTAAATGTAGTCGCTTAATGAGATATGTCGTAATAAGCAATGTCGTAAAAACCAATGTTTTTTATAAGGCGGTCTAACACAATTTAGCCGGGACCTATGGTATTGTTCAATACAACCGGTATGCTGTTCTAAACGATGTCGTAGTAAACGGTTTTGACTGTATATATATATATGGTATCTGATAAAGAGTGAGAATGGCGAACAACTTTTTGTTATCCTAGGTCATAATAAATTTATCCTGTCAAAAACTATTTTCAACGGGACTGAAACTGGAACAAATGTAACAGAATCTGGAGGAAGAAAAGATCGTTCAGTAAAGGAATGGGAATTCCTTGAGCTCATACAGTTTTACCGTAAATAAGAAATAAAGGAGTTTGGTTTTGACGGTGAAATATTACGTGGGGACATTTTAAAAAATTCATACTTTCAAATGCACCTCGCACATACTATGTACCTGTATATATACATTGCACATATTACACGAGTAAAATGTGTCTGTATCTATACAAAAATACAGGCCTGACGCTGGAAACTGGCGGAAATTTTAAAATGGCGTGAATGCGCGGTGGAAACAGTAGACAGTTTTAGGTATAATGATTGCAACCCTCATTCTTCAGTATTTCTATCAGGGGCGTAGATTAAATATTTAACAACAGATATCAGTGAGCAAGTAATAGACATACAAACAGAAGAACTAATTGTTGATGTTGGTGACAGTGATAGAGATTCCCATGATGCCAGTGAATGTGAAAGCTAACTATAAATTAAAAGCAATAGGTTTATTTTTTCTTTTTGGTAAGTTATGTTTCTACATTATTTTCTAGTACGCTACTGTCCTATCTGTATTAATACTATAATTTACGCCTACTGAAAGCTTATTTGTGTATCGGTTCCAAGTGACTTACCCAAATAGGTCATAAATGGGCAAGTACCTGCGCGACCGCTCGCCAGCTTCCTTCGTCAGACCTGTAC